GCCTTTCCAGATGTTCCAATTCCATACATCTGGCATTTTAAACTGACAAAATTATTGTGAAATAGTTCTCATTTGAAGATGAAAGTATCATTTTCACACCATTTTAAAAAGCTTTAGAAAATAATTGCACAAAAATTCTTCGTTAATGAGCGCTTAAGAAGAAAATATACATGGATTTATTCCACCTCTGCTTTCAGGTTCCAGTCTGCCTGATGATTATAAGCAGGGATGGCAGGGAAGACAAACAGAAAAACACACACCACTCATCTTTGGTTAATGAAGCCACAGAGATTTTTAAAGATGCAGGTGTTTACCTCACTAATGTAGTTCTCAGTGCTTCAGTGAAGGGACTGTCTTCTGGGCATTCATATGGGGCATAACTGGGGGTGGTGTGTGTGTACAGAGTATACCTAAGCTGGGTATAACATTCCTATTTCCCTAAGCCTTTGGGTTCCCTCTTCTACATCATGTTAGGGAAACTCTGGCATCTCAACCTTTACCCGGGACCAATCCATTGCAAGTTTCAGGCTCCCATTATTTACCGATCAACGTTGTTTATTTACCTTAAATTTTACATGAGAAAGTTACTGTGTCTGTGAAATTCAACTGCTGTTGTACTTTATTTACCTGAATAATTAAATTTTTATTTTATTTTAAATTTTAGCTATATTATCCAGTGGCTACAGGAAATTACAATTTAAAGAGTTATAGCAGTTTTCTGGCTTTCACACTATGACCTGATCTTTAAGTTAATGGGCCTGTCCTTGTCATTTTCTCTTTGCTGTTAAGTGCCGTGGAGTCGGTTCCGTCTGTATAGGGTTTCTGATGAGCAGCTGGTAGGTTTGAACTGCTGACCTTATGGTTTTCAGTTCAGCACTGATCCTACAGCACCACACCAGAAATCCTTGTAAGCACTCTAGAGTACTTAAAAAATCTACTACGTCATAGTCTTTCCTCACAGTCCTCTTTACTGCCAAAAGTGCTTGATGAACTGGGATGCTCTACATGCTATGGACTATGAGAGTATCATTCCTATCTAGCAAGGTACTAAGTACTGCACTCAAGCCCAAAGGCCCAATCCCCCAGACCTCTCTTTCTAGGTTTATTTCCTGGGACTAAGCTGTGGGTTTGTTCGCTGGTCTGCAAGGTCGGTGGTTCAAGATCACCAGCCACTCCTCGGAAACCCTATACCGGGTCGCTATAGATCGGAACCAATTCGATGGCACTTAACAACAACGACTCCTTAGATAGGGCAAGTTTAATGAAAAACTATTATATAACAGAGGTTTAGAATGATGAGGAATTCACTAGTAAAAAGAGAATTCTAAAGACTATAGAAATAGCAGCTGTAAAGAGCAGTAATTAACTCTAAGGCTGAGGTAGCGTGTCAAAGGAAGAGCCCCACCGGTGGCTGAGATCTAGACCTTGTTGGAGAGGGCCCAGTCATGATTCATTGAACAGCCATACCGATACAACTTGTGGAAAATCTGCTCAGGATCGTTCTGGTAATTTTCTCTTCGGGGTGCTGGGGGAAGTGGTTCACACGAAGATTTCTTACCTTAAGACCTCCACTATATAACTGCTAGAAGGTGGGGCTGTTGTAGTTTAAGTGTTAGGGACCCTGCATAGGGTTTCCAAGGAGCGTGAACCACCAACCTTGTTAGTAGTCCAGTGTTGAGACTACAGCGTCATCAGGACTCCAGAAGGTAGGGCTGAGGAGAGGAAATCTGCCAAACACTAAGGAAGCCAGGTGTTGGAGAAAACCAGGTAAGTTTCAGGAACTTACATACGTACACGTCAAAACCAGGAAGCAAACCCCTTTCCTTCCTGTAATGTCTCTCCAGTGCCCTCTACTGGCATGGCTTCAGTGCAACTGTGAGAGAGAAAACTAAAAGGCCCAGATGCATTTTCACAATGCAGTCAAAAAGGATTATTTGAAGCTGACGGGCAACAATTGAATAATCAGCATAAGCATTACTTCTGATTTCTCTCATGGACTTTGTAATCATAAGTCTACATCTGCCATGGAGGAGTCTTTAGAAGGCACCTTTCCCCTAAGTTACGTAAGGCTATCACCAAGAAACAACGGAAGGGAAAATGAGCCTGTCTAGAATTTGCAGACCCGTTCTCTTCCTTTTCCTGCAGCATTTCACCAAGTTCCCTTCCACGGCACGCCAGGCCCAGGTCTTCACGGACAGGAACTCTAACCAGCGAAAAGGAATTTGGGAGAAAGCTCAGGCGTTATCGAAGATGGGCTGCAGGTTTCTGAATGCCTCTGACACCCTCAAGTCCTGCAAAGCTACCTCCCAGGTCACAAAAGCTGTCTGAGGTCTTCCCATCGCCTGGGAGCAGCGAGGGAGACGCGGGGCGGGCCCGGCGGGCGACGCGCTGTGATTGGGCACCGGGGGTCCCGCCCCTCCATCCCGTCGCGTCGGGAGGGGGCGGGGCCAGCTGCCTGCTCGGCTCGGGGCTGCGGGCGCCTATTGACCCAGCGGCCGCCGCGCCGCCGCTGTCTCCTGCTCGTGGCAGGCGGTGCAGAAGCGCCGAGTGGCGCTGGAGAACCGGCGCTTTCTTACTCAGCTGCTTCCGCCATCTCCGCGTTTGCAAGGCGGGAAGGAGGGAGGGGGCTCGCAGCTGCAGCTGGAGCGGGCTTCTCTCCGGGGACGGTCCTCTGCTCCCAGCTCTTCGTTTCCTCCTCCCTGCGCCGCCGCCCGCCCCCTGCGCCCTCCCCGCGCAGCCCGGGTCCGGGAGGGGCAAGGAAGGGGCGGCGGGGGGCGGGAGAGGCTGGCGGGCGGACGCGCGCTCGGAGGAAACTCCTGCCCGAACCGTGCGCCCCCACGCGCCCAGGGTGTACCTCTCACGGCGGTATCGGCAGCCGAGGCGGCAGGAAGGGGCTCGATCCAGAGAGGCGGGGGCGGTGTCGCGGGGGCGGGCCCTGCAGTCCCAGCGCTAAGTTGTGGGGCCCCGTGTTCTCGCGACCCGGTTCTTTCCCCATCCGCTCCTCGAGACCTAGCTCCGTGTCGCCATCCGTCGGAGCCGCGGAACCCGCTCCTTCTCTGGACGAGGACACGCCTGCTCTCGTCGAGAAAACTTTTCTTGCCGACTTGGTCGGGGCGAAAGGGGCAGGAAGTCTGGGCGGCGACCTCTCTTCCGCCTGCCCCGCGTGCCCTGCCGGTCTCGGCTCTAGGCTCTCGACCAAGTTTGCGGGCGCTCCTTCCCGGCTGCTGGCCGGGTCCCGTCGGGCGGGACGACCGCACCCTGGGAGGGCTTCAGGTCGGGGCTAAGGTCGAGGCTCGTGGGGTCGGAGACAAGGTGCGGAGCGCGGCCCGAACCCTCACCCAGAGCACTAAGGGCGTACATCTGGGGAAGTAGGGAGCCTCCGGTGGCCGCTTCCTGGAGTCCACAGTCCGGCTTCTCTTCTGGCCGGTGTGAGGACTGTCCTGGCCCCGAGTCTGTCGAGGAAAATGAAGTTAAGCCGTCAGTTCACCGTGTTCGGCAGCGCGATCTTCTGTGTGGTGATCTTCTCGCTCTACCTGATGCTGGATCGGGGTCACTTAGACTACCCCAAGAGCCCGCGTCGCGAGGGCTCCTTTCCCCAGGTAAGCCCCGGAGTAATCGAGATGCGGGGCCTGGGGGAGGCAGATGTGGGGGTCTAGGTTTACCCGCTGCTTCGCTACTTCCAGCTCCCGCCGGCCGCGGGCTCCCTTCCCCGGGAGTGCGAGGCAGAACTGCAGGAGGATCCCAGTCTCTTCCAGCCCGGGCTCTGACCGCCACAGAAGCCGCCTCCACCCGGGCGCGCCGAGTTAACAAAGTGCTGGCGGCGTAGGGTGGAGGGTTCGCGCTCTGGGGAAGTGGCGGTGTTACGGTATTAGCACTCAGGCCTGTCGGGGTGACCTGGGGCACCTGCTGGCCGTAGGTCGCCGCGCTGGTTTCTATGGTGTAGCCCCTTGGCTTACTTGGGGTTAAGCTGCCAGCCTGAGCCAGCTTGCATAGAATGCGGAAATGAATCAAACATCCTACCTGGGCACCCCGTTCCCCACTGTCTTTTGAGAAATAAACAAAAGTTCACTTCGTGTTGTAGACTTCTTAGGTGTGAGTCTTAAGGGTTTAATGTCGTCGTTCTTTAGCTGTTACATCGGGTTTTTAGTAGCAGACGTGGTGAGCAGTGGGGAAACGCGTGTTATACTCCTGCCGGAAGCTGTGGGGCGCTCAGTCCTGTACCCACTGGTCAAATTGTGACTAACGAGTTGGGACAACGACCCATCTTAAGTCTTTTATTTAAAGTAACTAAAAATAAGCAAGGTGGACACAGTCGGTTCTCTTTGGAAGCATACTGCAGCTCGTGTACGAGTTCAGTTTGAAGTTACTTGTCAGAAATTAGTAAAAACGGACTTTTGTTTAGGGATTCCCCCTGTAGTGAATGAACCGGTGGATCTCAAATCCATGACAAACAGGGGACCTGAGCAGCGTGAATTTATTTTTCCTACCTCATATTACAGTTTCAGTCATCAATGAGTATCCATCCTTTTTTTTTTTTTTTTTAAATGGCATATTAAGGCAAGTTGCTCGAATTTAATTAAACTACACTTTACATGGGTTATTATGAAATCGAAAAATGACCCTTTAACAATACAGAGCAAAGGATTTGGCAGGTGACTGTAACAGTCTTGTGACCAACAGTTGTATCACATTTTTCGACTTGTTTGCTTTTCTCAGTAGAGTTTATTTAATAGAGAAAAGCTAGTGAGCCAGGCGCTAGTTGGTGTCTTTAAACCTTGAGTTTAGAGCTTGTGCAGTGCTCCTTGGGATGGAAAACAGTTCATAAAAGGGTAAACCCCGTGAAGCCAGAGCAAAAGTAGGAGTTCTAGGTTTTGTTATCTTGTGTAATTTTGGGGTTAAACTTAACTGATTTTTTTTTTCTCCCAGTAACTCTGTTTTCAGAGTTTTCTCCACTACAGAAAAATCATAAAAGCTTATATGCATTATGTAGAGTGTTATATTAAATAATAGCCCTTGGCTTAGACTTGGTGATCACTGGGAAGTGATTTATGCAAACATCTGGGTCTGGGTTCCCTGGCAACCTTGACATTTTATTTTTCAAAAGAAGGGAGTGACTCATTCAGTTACCGGGAAATCTTAGACATAGTTAATTCCAATATTTTAATATTTATCCCATGGTCCTTGTCAAAAGGCTGAAATTCTTAAGAGTATAATCCCATTGATGGAAAATGACAGCTGCTGCTGGAGAGAATGCCCCTATGGCACTGCCTACTGTTTTGTATGTGAGGAGAGAGGATTTGGAAGGTGGAGCTGTTTATAAAGTTGCCTTTCTCAAAATTTTAAATATTGTGTTTTCAGTGCAGGTAAAAGGTTCCCTTTCCTAGGATAGTTGTTGTTGTTGGTAGTTGTTGGTTTTGTTCGGTGAAGTCGGTTCCGACTCATAGCGACCCTGATAGGGTTTCCAAGGATGTAAATATTTATGGGAGCACAAAGCCTCATCTTTCTCCTACGGAATATCTGGTAGTTTCGAACTTCTGACCGGGAGATTAACAGCCAGACTCGTAAACATTACGCTTCCAGAGCTCCTTAGGGTAGTTGGTAGGTCTCTGAATTCCCAAGCAAGTGGGAAGGCTAAGCATTCTGTTAGTGTAACTCTTAGGGGCCTGAAGTCAGTCTGTGTGCTTTACATGTAAGCTCAGTCCCCACAACCAACACCTAGTTGGTGAGAAAATAGGCACAGAGAGGCTAATTAACTTGCTCAAGGGCACACAGCTAGCAAATAACAGCCAAGATTTGAAGAGTGGCCTATATTGCCTGTTAGGAATTCTTTACGTGCTGTTTAGTGCTAGCCCGTTTATAAAAGATCTGATGTAGAGTAAAGTAGAATACGCTATGACTCCTCAGCTTATGATTTTTTTTTTTTTTTTAAGAAACTTTATTATAATATTCTAGTGAATGTGATCGTTTTCCTGAAACATTTGATGTTGGAGACTAACATTTTCCTCTTCTGGAATCCTGGTGTGGTACTATATGTAGCATAACAACTGGACTTAACCAAGGTCTGTACTTCAAAGGAACCACAAGCCTCTCCCATACAGGGTCCCTTTGATTCAGAACTGACTTGCAGGCACTTACTGTTAGTAACATAATGTCTTCTAGCTTATTATTTCAGAGTTAAACGTAATGAAAACCATTATGCAGTTTATGCAGCACAGCATCCAGCTTTTGGGTTATTTAATTCCTTTATTTTTCTGCTACCTTCAACTCATTTTTAACCTTAATATGATGAGAATACTAAACAGCAAAAGTAGTTTGCAACAGATTCTATTTCTTTGGTGAGTTTGGGTACTGAATTTAAGAATTTTAATAGAGCTAGGCTAATTAGTCCTGTTGTGGCACTGTGGGTTAATGCGCTAGACCACAAGGTCAGTTTGAACCACAAGGTTAGTGGTTTAAGTTCATCAGCCACTCCTTGGAAACTCTATACGGGGTCACTCTGAGTCAGAAGTGACTGGGACTGGCACTGACAACAAGAATTAGTCCCTAAGTGTCTTTTTTGGTGTCTGTTATTAAGTGCTATCAAGTCGTTTCCAACTCACAGAGACCCTGCATAGGGTTTCTGAGGAGCAGCTGGTGAGTTTGAACTGCCAACATTGTGGTTAGCAGTCCAATGCTTATCCCACAGTGTCACATCACGACTCCTTTTTGGTGTCATTGGTTGGTTGGTTGTGTGTGCTATCAAGTCATTTCTGACTCATATCGACCCTGTATAGGGTTTCTAAGGAGCAGTGGTGGGTTTGAACCGCTGACCTTGTGGTTTATTGTCCAGTGCTTATCCTATAGCGCTCCCTAATAGGATAATTTGTCTTGAAAAGGACTGAGTTCTGAATTGTCCGTTTTAGTTTCTTTCAGATGATGTGGGTCCTTTGGTATGGTATAAGCTTGATCTTATTAACATGGTATATATTTTTTAAAACCACCCTGGATGAAACAATCTATTTGCTGTTTTTTTTGACCTGTGTTCCTTCTCCTGCCCCAAACAATGTGATTTCCCTTGCTTGGCAGGAGTGGACCCAATTCAGGGTGCTCAGGTTTCTGGAGGCTGCTGCTGACATGGTCTGAGCAGAGCTTCCCCCCTGTGGTTTTGGGAGGAATTCCTTTGTGAGACAGAGACAACAAACAGGTGGCCATGTCTCTTATTTCCGGGCTATTAAATCTCAGCTAGAAAAATTAGTAAGAATTTCACTCTAAATGAGAGGCTGGCCAGGGCCTAATGCCTTGTGAGAATTTCAACAGATGGAATAAGAAGCATTAGTAAGGTTTTCCTGAAGTTCATCATCATTTTACGAACAGATTTCACAGGTTGCTTATTATCTACAGTTTATATAATATGATATCTCATTAATATCTCATGTTTAAATCTGGAGTCAGGTTTTGTATAATAAATGATCAATCTTTAGTGTCACATACAAATTTTTTCTTTTTATTTCTTTCCTAACAGTTGCCATTGAACTGCTTCTAACTTACGGTTACCACATGTGTGTCAGAGTAGAATTGTATTCCATATGGTTTTCTGGCTGATTCTTTGGAAGTAGGTTGCCAGGCCTTTTTTCTGAGGTGAGTCCTCTGAATGGACTCCAACCTTCGATCTTTTGATTAGCAGCCAAGCATATTAGGAAAGTCTCTGTGAGAGTTGATGTTTGATATGAAATCTAATAGTTAAGTTCAGACTCTGTTTGTGATCAGATAACATTTATGATCTTGAAACGTGAGAATGCCCTTAAATGAGCATTTGATTGAAAACCACTGGATGGCTTTTGTATTTTAATCCTTATTGTAAAAGAGTAGAGTGTACATACAGATATATGCTTAAACAGTTTACATCACTAGTACTTTTTAAGAGCCATCCAACACCCCAGTCAAAAGAACCAAACCTACTGCTGTCAAGAAACTTCCAACTTGCTGTGACTCTATAGGACAGAATAGAACTGCCCCCACAGGCTTCCTGAGGGTACAAATCTTTACAGTGCAGATTGCCACATCTTTCTCACAGCAATGGCTGATCAGTTTGAATCAGCAACCTCTTGGTTAGCAGCTTTGTGCTTAGCCACTATGCTGCCAGGGCTCCTCTGAGTCCAACAACAGATATTTAATAAAAGTGGGGGGCAGGAAGTATGAGTAGTACCTGAATCTTCAAAACATTTTTAAACTTTTTATTGTGAATTGAGTGATGGCTTAAAGAGCAGATCATCAGTTTTGCATTCAGCAAATCATACACTTTGATTCAGTTTAGTGATTGCAGTTCTCTCCATGTCACATCAGTTATTGCACTTCTTCCCTGTGATTCTTGTTTGCAGCCCACCCTCCTTCCCAGCCCTTCTGAACTTTGTCCATAGGTAAATGCTGCCTAAGTTTTAAAACTTTCATAAGTTTTAAAATTTTACTTCAATAATGATATATAAGGAAAATACGATCCCCCAGTGCCTCTCATATAATTGACTCTGTAACTAATAACACTTTTGTTTTGCCAAAGTCAGTGAGGATTTGTGTAGTTGATCTCATTTCTTGGGTTAAACTTGAGATCTGTGATTTGGGGGAA